CCCGTCAGTAACCCCCAGAGCATCCTCGGGCAGTGGCTGAAGCAGCAGCAAGGACATGTGGCTGCAGAAGGGCTGCCCTCGGCTGGCACGCGTTCCCCGTCCCTGCTGCAGCACCCACAAACCAGCCGTGCCACCCCTACAGCCTGCGAGAAACCCCCTCCAGCACCCACCACTCCTCCTGCAGCCTCCACCCCAGCACCCGGCTGCAGCGGGGGTGCGAGGGGGGGTCTGAGCTTGCTCTGCCTCTCCCCCGCCTCCTTCAGACCTGCTCCCCTTCATTTTTAGCCACTCTGTGCTCACAAATTACAGCCTTGCAGCTACTCCCCTGGTTCACAGCCAAGAGCCGGGCTCTGCTCGGATGGGGGTGACTGAGTGGGCTATTAGCCAGGCAGGCTGATGGGCTCCAGAGTTGCCCGCTCCTCCTAGAGGCCCTGCGGGGAGGACTTGAGTGCATTCACCTGAGCCGGCCTTATCTTTCCATCGCGTAGGTCCTACCTGCAGTGCCTGGCTAATGCAAGCGCGGAGGAAGGTGCTCAACATCCCTCTGCTTTATGGGGCTCGGAGGTGCCCCACCGGCAGCAGGGTCTGATGAGCAGAGCGGGAGGGAGCGCGGTCCTGGGCCGCATGCGGTTATGCTGCAGGCACCCGGGGTGACCTTGAGTGCAGGCAGGGCTGCTCTGCCTCCCCTTCCTCCTCCCACAAAGGCTCAGAAAGGGGAAATGGATTTTTTTATTATTATTATTTTTTGCCGCAGTTGTTGCCTCAAAAGTCACTGCTGGTGATGGGGGCCAGGGTGTCTGCCCTGTGCTTGCAGCGCGGGGGGGCTGCTGTGAGTGCTCCTCGCTCCTGCGCCAGACCCAGCTGAACCCAAGCCCCTGCCCGCCCTCCCCAGCAGCGCCCATGCCCGTGGGCTTTGCTTTGGGGTGCTCCCTGCCTCATTCGCAACTTGCCGCTGTTCTGCGCTCTCCCCTTTTGCTCCCAGCTGCCCATCGTGGAGCCAAATCGCTGGGTGCAGCCAGAGTGGGGAGCACGTTCCCAGCACCAGCGATCAGTGCTGCTGAGTCCCGTTCTGGGGGCTGGGGGGCTGGTGGGGGCCCTGCCCCGGCCTGCCTGCTGCCCCCAGCTCCCTCCCACCAGCCTTCGCCTCCTCGCTAGCTGTGCTGCCTGTTGAGGCAGGGTGCAAAGCAGGCACGCGGGAGAAGACAGACAGACAGACGGCCACCAGCGA